TCTGCCCAGGTCAGGGACCAGATCCACGTCTCCTGCACTGGCAGGCAGGTTCCTCACCACCGAGCCACCAGGGAAGTCCCCTACTTTTCCTTTGATTATAAAACTATACAGTCCAGTAAGTGCTCAGAGTGCACCATTTCTCGCCTGCTCACAAGCGTCCTATTCTAAAAAGTCACTTCTTATCTACCTCTTTACTGCTCACTATATTGTCTTCTCTGCTGAGACATAAAGAACTGTGGTACCGGAGCTCTCTGGAGCCCCAAAAGATGACACAAACAGTTTCATAAGCAGTCACACACACTTGATAGGAATGTAAGGCAAGACCAGTTCTGATGGGTTATTAGGTAAACATATCTTTGACCTACCAAATCCACATCTAGAAGTTTATCCAAAGGGAATATTCAGCAAAGTGCGCAAAGATGCTCACAGCAGAGCTGCTGACACTAAAATCTGAAAGATGCCTTAAGAATGAAATTAATAGCTACCTTACTTGGCACTTACTACCAGTAGATACCATGCTGTACCTGAACAGATTGGAGGAGTCTCACATCCTCCTAAAGACCCCTGATCAGAAGATGAGACCAGGTGCTCAAAGCTTAAGTATCAAATAAAGGTGTAGGGGGATGTGTGTGACTGTGAGGGATCCTTACATGTCTTGGTATTTTCTGAACGTTTTGCAATACTGTTCTCAATAAGAAATATATATTAATAAAAGAAATATTTTTAAATAAAAGAATATTTAAAAGAAAAAAAAAACTTGAATACTCTGAAAATGGAATTTATTTTGATGGTGCTTCAAAACAGAACATAATCAGACCATGAAGCTTCACTGACCATTAAACATCACAAGGATACACAGATCTGAAAGACAACATGAATGGCCCTGATTTAGTAGGCCAGATTACTTATGCGCACCTGTCTGTGTTACTCTCAAGCACAAACATGGAAGGAAAAACAGACTGTCTCCCAGACATTCTCATTTTTGTATGACTGACATCTGTAGAGTTCTTTTTAGGCTAAAATGACATGGTTGGAAACCTCAGCTAAATAGCACTTGGCCATACCCACAACATGTGATCTTTTTTCCCCCACTAGATTTAATGTGAATTCTGCACATGACATGTTTGGATCCTTACAGTTGCCCAGGAAATTCCCAATTTTCCCCAAGAGTCTCCCTTTTGAACTCCTGCACTCTTTTTAAATTTTTTAAATTTTGGCGATCTGCACAATTCCTTCCAAACTCACACATTTTGTGTTTCTGAGTATGTCTTTTTTTTAATTGAAATATAGTTGACTACAATGTTATGGTAGTTTCAGGTGTATGACATACTGGTTTGACATTTGCATACTTTATGAAATGATCACCGTGGCAAGTCTATAGCCATCTGTTGCCATACAAAGTTATTACAGTATTACTGAATATATTCCTTATGCTTCATAGTCTATCCCCATGGCTTATTTATTATATGAAAATTTGTAACCTTAATCCCCTTCACCTATTTCCTGTCCCCTGCAAAATGCCCACACTCTTCCAGCTCTGGAACAAAGCAACAAACTAAATCTTAAAAGAAACTATTCTACAAAAGCAACTAAAACATTTCCATAGACATAAGCATTGTCCAGAGTCTCACAGACCTATGGCAAGTGTCACACCTAACTAAAAGTTCATGTGCCCTGTGAAAAGCTGGCATATAGCTGTCTACTACCCAGAAAACAATATTTTTGGTAATCCTGGGTCTGGCAAGACTACCAAAGTCCCTTCTCAAACTCTAAAATAAACCCCAAACTCACAGGGCCCAGGACCTGGATTTAAACAAGACATCAGTCCATAAGGCCCTGAGGGAAAGGAACTCACACAGTCTCTGCTTGAGATTGGAGGACAAGTGCAAAAGCTTTCGAAGCATTAACCAATTTTTTTTTAATTGGAGAATAATTGCTTTACAATATTTTGTTCATCATCCAATACTTTGACTACCTGATGCAAAGAACTGACTTATTAGAAAAGACCCTGATGCTGGGAAAGACTGAAGGCAGGAGGAGAAGGGGACGACAGAGGATGAGATGGTTAGATGGCATCACGGACTCAACGGATATGAGTCTGAGCAAACTCCGGGAGCTGGTGATGGATAGGGAAGCCTGGCGTGCTGCAGTCCACAGGGGTCACAGAGTCGGACACGACTGACTGACTAAACTGAACTGAATTGACTTTGTTCATTTCTGCCATACATCAACATGAATCAGTCACAGGTATACATATGTCCCCTCCCTCTTGAATCTCCTTCCCGCCTCCTCCCCATCCCACCCCTCTAGGTTGTCACAAAGCACTGGGTTTGAGCTCCCTGTATTATACAGCAAATTCCCGCTGGCTATTTTACATATGGTAATATATATGTTTCAATGTTACTTTTCCATTAGGCCCTTCCTCTCCTTCCCCTACTGTGTCCACAGTCTGTTCTCTATGTCTGCGTCTCCACTGCTGCCCTGCAAACAGGTTCACCAGTACCATCTTTCTAGATTCCATACATATGCATCAAAAAGAAAGTGAAAGTGAAGTCGCTCCTTCGGGTCTGACTCTTGGCAACCCCATGGACTGCAGCCTACCAGGCTCCTCTGTCCATGGGATTTTCCAGGCAAGAATACTGGAGTGGGTTGCCATTTCCTTCTCCAGGAGATATTCCCGACCCAGGGATTGAATCCAGGTCTTCCGCACTGTAGGCAGATGCTTTACCATCTGAGCCACCAGGGAAGTCATTAATATAATGATATTTTTCTCTTTCTGACTTCACTCTCTATGATAGCCTCTAGGTTCATTTACCTCATTAGCACTGACTCAAGTGCATTCCTTTTTATGGCTAAGAAATATTTCTCTGTATATATGTACCATAGCTTTTTTATCCATTCATCTGTCAATGGACATCTAGGTTGCTTCTATGCCCTAGTTATTGTAAATAGCGCTGCAATGAACACTGGGGTACATGCATCTTTTTCAATTATGGTTTACTCAGGGTGTATGCCCAGTAGTAGGATTGTTGGGTCATATAGTAGTTTTATTCCTAGTTTTTTAAGGAATCTCCACAGTGGCTGTTTCAATTTACATTCCCGTTAACACTGCAAGAGGGTTCCCTTTTTCCCACACATTCTCCAGCATTTATTGCTTGTAGATTTTTTGATGATGGCCATTCTGACTAGCATGAGATGATATCTCATTGTAGTTTTGATTTCCATTTCTCTAATAATGAGCGATGTTGAGCATCTTTTCATGTGTTTGTTAGCCATCTGTATGTCTTCTTTGGAGAAATGTCTGTTTAGCTCTGCTGCTCACTTTTGACTAGGTTGTTTGTTTTTCCAGTATTGAGCTGTAAGAGCTGCTTGTATATTTTGGAAGTTAATCCTTTGTCAGTTGATTCATTTGCTATTATTTTCTCCCATTCTGAAAGTTGTCTTTTCTCTTTATTTATAGTTTCCCTGGAGAAGGAAATGGCAACCCACTCCAGTCTTCTTGCCTGGAGAATCCCATGGACAGAGAAGCCTGGCAGGCTACAGTCCCTAGGGTCACAAAGAGTTGGACACCACTGAGGGACTTAGCATAGTCCACAGTCTTGCTGTGCAAGAGCTTTTAATTTTAATTTTAAAATTAAGTTTAATTAGGTCCCACTTGTTTATTACCAATTGCTCTTTAAAAGGACAAATTGTATAGTGCCCAAAATGCCATATGGTCATTTTTTTTCTCTTCTAAAATAAAATCAGTGAAAAGATGAGTCAACTAATAGGACTGCTGTGATAAGAAACAGAATTCTTTGAAGCATTTTTCACGATTCTGGGATTCATCCCTACACACCCTGCCTGTGTTGGAAAGCTTGGAGACAGATACCACCTTCCACCTCATCACCACTTTCTTCTCCTACATGGAAGTTTGAGACAATTCAGTAAAACTCAGAGTGATGGATCTGGGGCGAAGAGGAAAGCATTCCAGACTTGGGGAGGCCTCTCCTGACCCCAGCTTGGGGGCAAGCCATCTCTGGGTACCTCCATCAAAGCATCTCTCTCACTTCCCACCCAGATCCTCCACTGAATTACAGGGGCCCTAACAGCTGGGCCTCTGACATCACCAGCATCTGTTCAGTGACTGACAGAGGTGGGCCTACAATATCACTGCTTGCCACAGACACACATGGCTAAGGGGAGGCCAGGTACTGTTTCCACTTTAAAGAGGTGAATTGTGCAATGTGTGAATATATCAGTAAAGTTGGTACTTAAAAGAAAAAAAAAAGATGGAAGGGAGGGAAAGAGGGAGGGAGAGAAAGGGGGAGGGGAGAGTGGGGGATAGAGAGAAAAAAAAGAGAAGGCAGACATCCAGGGATCAGGGGGTGGGGGATGCATAAACTCTAGCTATTCAAGTGTTTAAGAGCAGTGAACTAGTATCCTTGGTTTACTCTGAAAGGTATAAAAAATAAGATGTACTAATGTACAGAGAGAGGGATGCATAGATGCACAAATACATGATAAGGTGACTACAGCAAAATGTTAACAGGAGAATCTAGGTAGTGAGTATACAGGGATTCACTGTGACATTCTTTCAAACTTTCTACTATTTCCAAAATAAAACCCTGAGGGTCAAAAACTTTTGGCTATTCTTCCAAAAACATGGCCTCAATTGACTATAAAATCTGAGGCAAAAAAAAGATACTAAAACAGGATGCAATTTTAAAAACTCAAAGCCTATCTACCACAGATCCTCTTTGCCTTGGATTCCTGGAGCCAACTAGCCAGGGTTCCCAACCCCTTCCCCAGGCATGTGAGTCTCAGCGACCAGATGTTAGTGAGCATAGGGAAGTTTAGCATGGGCTGTCTGGGTGGTCTGCCGAAGGGGCTCAAGGCCACCCTGAAGAAATCAAGTGACACTTGGCCCATCAAGCCTTACTCAGCACTTGCAAGGGATTCACAATTTCCACATTTCTCTTTTAAACAGCGAATTCACTGCCCATTGCTTTGAGATTTACCTTGAGAGCGACTGAAAAATCAATGTCCTTGGTTTCCTTCAGGCCAAGTGGAATCAGGGGAATCGTAAATGCTTCCCTAGAAGGAACAGAGCAAGCTACATGAACATCCGCATCTCGGCCACTTTGCATACCCCCAGCTTGTCCCCCCACCAGAATCCAGCTCAGGTCCCTACCCCTCTCCTCCCGCCAAGCTAGTACACATCAGTTCGTTTTCCATAAAGACCACTTGGGGACTTCCCTGGTGCTACAGTGGATAAGAATCCATCTGCCAATGCAGGAGACATGGGTTCGATCCCTGGTCTGAGAAGTTTCCAGATGCCTAGAGCCCACGTCCCGCAACAAGGGAAGCCACCACAATGAGGAGTAGCTCTGCTCACTGCAATGGGAGAAAGCCTGAGCGCAGCGACAAAGACCATGTGCAACCAAAAATAAATAAAATTATTATTTTTTTTAAAAAGACCACTCAGGTCATGTCCTTGTCTTTGCTGCAAAAGGAGTCCCTGTCCCCTTCTAGATGACCAAGCCTAACACATGAGGTCTCTACCAGCTGTAAATCTGTAAATCTACCAGCTGATAAATCTACCTGATTTATCCCTCCAGTCACATTGCATCTTTGAATAACTGTCCTGAGGACCTACTGCACACCAGGGTCTGTGCCTCGAGTGCTCACTGCTCTGCGGTCTGGGGCACTGCCGCCATTTCCAGCCCCCACCCTTCTCCTCCTCCTCCCTTTACTGCAGTGGGTCCCACATCTCCGGCAGCCCTCCAACCCTGGGCTCTCATGTGCCTCCTCCCATGGGGCGTATCCCTCTAGGTGTCCCACCCTCAGCACGGGGAAGGCCTTGAGGGTGGGGACCCCATCTGACACCTAAGTGCACCTGGCTCCCATCCCTAGGTCAGGCCCTGGCCGGCTACTTCCCCACCACCTCCTCTGCCCCAACCAACCACCTGGTTACCCCAAAGGTCACCCTGGGCGGTCTCAGGGGCAGGGCCAGTGGGAAGTGAACTAGGCTCAGCTGTGTTTTGCCAACAGGGATTTTGCTCCCTGACCTGTAACAGGAGACCTCCTGGGGCCCTCAGCCCAGCTGGGGAGGAGGCCAGGAATGCAGGCGGGGTGAGTGGACAATGGGCTGTAAGCTGAAGCTGCCTCTGTGGGGGACAGAAAACAACAGGACGGTGCTGAAAGCAGGCAAGTCCCAATGGGGTGCATAGCCTTCCCAAGGCCTGCCAGGAAAGCTGGATCCTGCTAGAAGGAGATGAGGACAAGCTGGGCTGCTCTCTGCTGGCTTCACCCCGACGGGGCTGGCGGCTAGGTCTGCTCTTCCTGTGACCGTGCAAGAGCAGCCAGCATCTCCAGGCTCCTGGCCAGGACTCCCCACCCTCCATCTTGCGCTAATATAACATTTTCCCATAACCTTGGGGCTCCCTGTGTTGTCTCATCTGTATGAGATTATGTCTTCCCTGTCTACCTCATAGATGTGTGTGAAGATCAACTGTGCCAAGAAAAAAATAATGTGCTTTGAAGACAGGAAGAGGGCGGATGGAAATGCAAGATGTCATTATGTATCTGCACATCTCTCTCCCCTCTCCCCCACTCCCGGGGACTAACTTTCCCACTCCCAGAGGCCAGTCGGCCACTTTACAGCCGTACTGCAGTCACAGAGGGGCCTTGACTGCAAGTCTATGGGGAATATGCGTGAACAGCCCTGTGCTTCAAGCACAGCGAGGTGGAATAAGAAAAATACTACTTCTATCACCAGTGCTTGGCCCTGACTCATCTCATAGATGGAGAAGGGAATGGCAACCCACTCCAGTATTCTTGCCTGGAAAATCCCATGGACAGAGGAGCCTGGGGTTGCAAAGAGTCAGACAAGACTGAGTATACAGCATGAGCTGGGGGAAGCTGTTCGCTGGCTGTACTGATCAGGTGTCAGAACTATGCTGGGAGCTCACAGGTAAATGAGCCAGGATACACAGCCTGGCTCATGGATGGCCACTAAGGAAGCAAAGGTTTCACCCGTGGCTCAGAAAAACCCCTTGGGAACAGTACAGAGGACTGTGCAGGAGACGATCAGGAAAAACACCTTTCAAAGGTGATGGAAGGTTCCCCAACATTTTCGTTCTGTTCATCCAGGGAATTATTTTCTCACTGAGTTTTCCTTTGGGCTCCCTTACCTTTTGAAAAGTCCTACTTCCCCAGACAGAAAAGTACATAAACTGTTCTTTAGCAGTTCTCAAGGTTATTTCCTCTTAAAGATGGACTTTTGGGGACCTCCCTGGCAGTCTAGGGGTAGGGACTGCACCTTCCAATGCAGGGGGTGTGAGTTCTATCCCCAGTCGGGGACCTAAGATCCCACATGCCTCGAAGCCAAAAAGCAGAACATAATCAGCAGAAGCAATACTCTAACAAATTCAATAAAGGCTTTTAAAATGGTCCATATAGGGGAAAAAAAAAAAAAAGATGGACTTTACCTTCCAAGGTAGCTCACCTTGGGGAGGGAGAATTTCTAAGCTCTTCTGAAGGTCACAGCTCAACATTTGGCCTCCCACAAAGACTCTCTAAGGGATGCTTCTGAATCAGAACATTTCTTTCTCAAATATTCAACGGGAGACATTTCCTACGTGTCTCAGTTACATCATCCCCTCAGGGAACTTGCAAAAGTCTCATGATCTTTGCTGGAAAAGGCAGCTTATTATATGTTTCTCAACTTTTATCAACAGAATGACCCAAAGTCAGATCGTGTGCATGGTGCTGAGGTGGAGAGGGAAGAAGACAGAGCTTCCTGGCCCCCAACTGGCAGGCTGACTCTCAGAGCTGACCAGAGCTACCCTTCCAGGGCCTCTTTATGGCAGAGGCATCACCCAGGCTACGTGAGGGGTGCCATCTCCCTGCCTGAAACCAGCCACAAGGCTCTCCGGTAAAACTGTGTCCCAAGTGGTCCCAGGACAAATAAATGCCTTTTTCTCCAACTGGTCAGGTATTTCCAACAAACCCTATACAGGTTCTCTTTAACGCCTGCACCTTGCTCAACCCCAAACCAGATCAAAGCTGGGTTGGCTACATCCTGGGGCCTATCTGCGCACCATCCCTGCTGCAGACATTTCCCAAGGCTCAGAAAGTATCTGACAGAAGCACTGCCCCACTTACTCTGTGTTCTGATAGACTCCCACTGAGATGTTGAGTCCCTCCAGCTCTTCTTTGAGCATCTGCAGGTCTGAATTCAAGAAGCTCAGTTCCAGGCGCACCTGCTCTCGTACCTTTTGGTTCGTGGCTGCTCTGTTAAAAGAGAAAGGGGGAGAGAAGCAACTTCAGCCAAGCATCCCCCAGTGGCCGGTGGAGCAGACACCCCACCCCAGTCCCTGTAGGGAAGCTCTGGGGGCCTGCCTGCAGATGGAGGTGCCAGCTGTGATCAGACAAGGTGTCTCAGGGAGGCCAGGAACCTGCTCCATTTTGAGCCACATCTGTCCGTACATGGACCTAGGATTTAGCCAATGACACTGAGCTGCTTAACTTGAATTCTGTAAGGATTAGCCTTGAGAAGAGAAAAAGAAGTTGCTCCTAGTCACCCGTAAGGGACCATAAATTATCTCCTTAAAAGGGAAAAGATGAGAAAAGAGACGGGGTGGGTAATATTCCCCAGCCCAGCCTATGAGGCTGATATCACCCTGATTCAAAACCAGGGGAAACCACCACAAGAAAACTAATCAGTATCTTTCATGTATATATATGTAAAAATCCTCCACAAAATATTAGCAACCCGAACCTAGCAACATATACAGAGGACCAAATGGGATTTATCCCAGGAATGCAAGGTTGGCTTAATATCTGGAAATCAATTAATATAACATACTATAACAACAGAATAAGGGACAAAAAAAAAAAAAAAAAAAACCTGTCATCTCAATAGATGCAGGAAAAAAAAGCATGTGATAAAATCCAACACAGATTTATGGTAAAAATCCATAACAAGCTAGGAATAAAAGATAATTTACAAAGCTTGATAAATGACATCTAAAAAAACCCACAGCTAATATCATATTTAATGATGAAAGATTGATGCTTTCCCCCTTATGATCAGGAGCAAGGCAAAGATGTCCATTTATGCTACTTCTTACCGATACCATACTAGAGATTCAAGCCAGTAGCAATAAGGTAAAGAAATGAAAGGCATCTAGACCGAAAGGAAGAAGTAAAACTTTACTCACAGCTGACATAATCTTGCATGTATAAAATCCCCAGGCACCCAAAAAACGAATACTAGAGCTAATAAATTTAGCTAGGTCAAAATACAAACATCCATTTTACTTCTATATACTAGCAACAAGAAATCTTAAAACGAAATTAAGAAAATAATTTCACTCATAATAGTATCAAAGAGAATAAAATACTTGGGAATAAAATTAAGAAAAGAAGCAGAAATCTTGCACAATGAAAACTTCAAAACACTACTGTGATATTAAACGGACAGATATTTCATGTTTATGGATTGGAAGACTCACTATTGTCAAGACGTCAGTTCTCTCCAACTGATCCATCAGTTCAAATAAATTCCAGTTATAGACTTTCCTGGTGGTACAGTGGGTAAGAATCCACATGCCAATGCAGAGGACACGAGTTTGACTGCTGGTTGGGGAAGATGCCACATGCTGTGGAGGAACTAAGCCTGAGCACAACTACTGAGTCCTCACTCTATACAGCCTGTGGACCCCGACGACTGAGCCCACGTGCTGAAGCCCCTGCGCCTACGGCCTGTGATCTGCAGCAAGAGAAGCCACCGCAATGAGAAGCCCGGGCACTGCAACCAAGGGGAGCCCCCGCTAACCACAACTAGAGAAAGTCCCAGAAACCAAGACCCAGTGCAGTCAAATAAATAAGCAAGATAAACTGAAAAAAATGTGGAAACACAACTCCAATCTAAACCATAGTAAGCTTTTTAGGAGAAACTACCAAACCGATCCTAAAATTTATATGGAAATGCAAAGGACCTAGAAGAGCCAAATAATTTTCAAAAAGAACAAAGTTGGAGGACTTATGCTATCTGATTTTAAACTTACTATAAAGCCTCAGTAATCAAGACAATGTGGTACTGGCATAAGGACAGGCAATGGGACAGAACAGAATCCAGAAGTAAATTTTTACATTTATGGTAAACTGATTTTGACAAAGGTGACAAGAAAATTCAAAGAGCAAAAGTCCTTCTGACAAATGGTGCTGAAGCAATTGGACATTTCTAGCCATGTCAGTGTCCCCAAGACCACCCCTAGAGTCAGTGGGGGTGGGACTTGCAGGACTCAGGATATAGTTATGCTCACTGCTCTGATTTATTACAGCAAAAGGACAACCAGCAAAATCAACTAAGGGAAAGGCGCATGGGGTGAGGTCTAGAGGAAACCAGGCACAGGCTGCTAAGAGTCCTCTTTCCCAGAGGGGTCACACAGGACATGCTTAATTCCTCCAGCAAAGGGTTGTGACAACATGTGTGTAAATGCTGACATCCAAGGAAGATCACCAGGGTTTTTACTGGGGGTTGGTCAGGTAGACATCCCTGCCTAGCATGTTCCAAAATGTAAGACTCCAAGAAGGAAAGCAGGTATTTGCTATAAACCACATGGTTTGTCCGCCTGCAATGTGGGAGACCTGGGTTCAGTCCCTGGGTGGGGAAGATCCCCTGGAGAAGGGAAAGGCTACCCACTCCAGTATTCTGGCCTAGAGAATTCCATGGGATGTATAGCCCATGGGGTCGCAAAGAGTCAGACACGACTGAGCGACTTTCACTTCACTTCACATGGTTTGTGCAAATAGTTTAAGTATAGCGAGCTCCTCTTATCAGTTCTAGGAATGAGGGGAACTCTCCTGAAATCTACATTTCCACACACCAGCCAAGTGCCAACCTCGCAAGCAGGGCTTTCTAAAGATAGACTTCTCAGGCCTGCGACAATAACTCTTTTCTGCACAATATGCAAAAAATAAATCTCAGTCTAAGCATTATACCAAACCAAGTATCAAGTCAAAATGGATCAGACAGGGGTTGGGGGTGGGAGGGAGACTCCAAAAAGGAGGGGATATATAAAAACTTACAGCTGATTCAGGTTGTTGTGCAACAGAAACCAACATTGTAAAGCAATTATCCTCCAATTAAAAGTTTTTAAAAATGGATCAGAGACCTCAGTAAAAGAGCAAAAACTCCAAAACTCCTAGAACGAAATCTTCGTGACCTCTAATTGGACAAAGTATTCTTGTTGTTATTGTTCAGTAGCTCAGCTGTGTCTAACTCTTTGTTACCCCATGGACTGTAGCACGCCAGGCTTCCCTATCCTTTACCATCTCCCAGAGCTTGCTCAAACTCATATCCATTGAGCCGGTGATGCCATCCAACTATTTTATCCTCTGTCATCCCCTTCTCCTGCCTTCAATTTTTCCCAGCATCAGGGGTTTTCTCTAATGAGTCAGTTCTTCGCATCAGGTGGTCAAAGTATTGGAGTCTTCAGCTTCAGTCCTTCCAATGAATATTCAGGACTAATTTCCTCTAGGATTGACTGGTTGGATCTCCTTGCAGTCCAAAGGACTCTCAAGAGTATTCTCCAACCCCACAGTTCAAAAGCATCAATTCTTCAGTGCTCAGCCTTCTTTATGGTCCAACTCTCACATCCACACGTGACTACTGGAAAAACCATAGCTTTGACTAGACAGACCTGTGTCAGCAAAGTAATATCTCTGCTTTTTAATGTACTATCTAGGTTGGTCATAGCTTTTCTCTCAAGGAGTAAGCATCTTTTAATTTCATGACTGCAGTCACCATCTGCAGTGACTTTGAAGCCCAAGAAAATAAAGTCTGTCACTGTTTCCATTGTTTCCCCATCTATCTGCCATGAAGTGATAGCAAAGTAGTCTTAGTTACATAACAAAAGCACAAAAATCCATAAAAGAAGAAACATTAATTTGAGTTATCAAATTTTAAACTTCAGTGTTTCAGAAGATAATATTAAAAAAGAAGAAGAATTAAAAAGCCACGGACTGGGAGAAAATATTTGCAAATTGTGCATCTGATAAAGAATCTGTATCTAGAAAACAGAAAGGGTTCTGTTAATGAAGTAACAAAAAGATCACTCAATTTTTTTAATGGGCAAAAGATTTTTTTAATTGAGTTATAACTGACATACAATATTCTATTAGTTTCAAGTGTACAATATAATGATTCAATAACTGTATATCTTCAAAACGATCACCATAATAAATCTACTTGCCATCTGTCATTATACATGGTTATAGAATATTTTCCTAAGATAAGGACTTGTAAAATTTACTCTTTTAGCAACTTTTTTTTTCTCTTTTAGCAACTTTCAAACATACAATACAGTATTAATAACTGTTGTCACCATGCTGTACATCACATTCCCATGACTTATTTTATAACTGGAAATTTGTACTCATTTCACCTATCCTGCAACCCCTACCTCTGGCAACCACCATCTGTTCTCTATATCTACGAGCTTGGGTTTTAAAAAATATTCATACATATAGATCTTAATTCTTTTTTTTCCTAAGTATTTTATAAGTAACTGGAATTTTTCATTAGATCTTATACAGAGCAGTATTTTATTAAAAATTCAAAAGGGAAGACTTTTATGTGCTCATTTTGTAGCTTTTCTTTTTTAAATATCTATACATTGTCTGCAATTAAAGTGTTTTCAACTTGCATTGGAATGGACTCCAAATGTATTTTTGTGTTAAACTGTACATTTGTAGATTTTTGGCATGAAGTTAGCCTCAAAATGTGTAAAAGGATTTTAAAATATAAGTCACTGAAAGAGTTTAAACATCTATACATGTTAAATGCTATATGGATTTTAATTAAACATTTGAGAATGATTTCATAAAAAAAATAAAAAATAAATAAAAAATATATATTGGCTGTGCCAGGTCTTAGTTGTGGCCCTCAGGCTCTTCAATCTTTGTTTCTTTGTTGCAGCATGAGGAATCTTCAGTTGCGACATGTGAACTCTCAGTTGCAATATACAGGATTTGGGGTTTTTTGTTTATTTTGTTTTGTTTTGATTACACATATAAGTGAGATCACAAGTATTTGTCTTTCTCTGACTTGTTTCACTTAGCATAATGCCCTCAATTTCCATCCATGTTGTTGCAAATGGCAAGATTTTATTCCTTTTTATGGCTAAATAATATTACGTGTGTGTGTGTGCACTCGCGCCTGTGCATCACATTTTCTTTATCTAGTCATCCATTGACGGACACTTAGGTTGCTTCCATATCTTGGT